TGTCAATCACATCTTGTCAATTGCTGTTTTAAGCTTCTGATGCCTTCTCAAGTTGAAGGAACACCAAATAATGCATTTAACTTGAAACGTGAGGCTCTACATGTTCTGTCCCCAGACTCTCTCCCTTCCCCTCTCTGCCCGAGACACAAATAAGCTGCTTTTGTATTCCTGGAAAAAGAAAATCACTAATTTCCATGGTAGGTCTATTGCACTTGCTGTTCCCTGCAAGTGGAAAATTCTGCTCTGGACTTTCCGTTTGGTCCACTGGGTCTCAAAAAGATCTCCTGCTCGGTGAATCCATCCGGGACCCGCAGCTCAGGCAGCCCCTGCGCATTCTTCTGTTATCTAATCCTGCTTTAGTTTCTGCACAGCACACATTGCTGATAAAAACTGTCTTGCTCACTTAGTGAGGACTTGTTTATTGGACTGAGCCAGTGAATCAACAATGTCAAATAAACCACAGCTTTGAAAAGCCAGTGGAATTTGGCTATTTTGGCTTGTGTTTTTGTCTTATATAAAGCTTGCCAGATAAAGAATATTCACCTTTCAGAAAAAAGCATCTCTACATTTTCTATTTTTAAAACCAATTCCTAGTTTTATTGCATGGTATTGATTTTTTCTTTTTCTTTTGATAAGTTATCGATGTTTTGTTTTCACTGTAATATATTGTCCAATTTTGTGAATCATTCATTAGTACTTGATAAAGGTGAGTATTCTCTATTACCAGGTGCATACACTGTACCTTGTTAAGCTTGTTTGTTTATATCTGTATATGTGTCCATTTTTTTTCTGTCTTCAACACAATAAAGTGACTTAAATTCTCTGTTTTTTCAAACACTACTCCAACTTGTTTCTTACCAACTATGATTTTTCCTTAATCAAACTCACATGGGCTCTAGGCTGGATCTCAACCTTCTGGCCCTAAGCCTGCACCATGTCCTCATGGAGCTTGCCCTGAGGAGGAAAAGAGGAGGGAAATGAGATTTTACCAGAACTTTCTTCCCCACCTCTGTGACACAATCCTCTCTGGACCCTGCAGCCCATGCCCACCCCTCCTGTTTTCCCCCTAGAAACACAAGCCCAGCACGGAAAGCTCCCTGGATAACCCTCTCCCAAGCACTGCCTGAGCCGGGCACAGGGGCCTGGGGCACCCACCTCTGGATTCTCTGGGCAAGCGCTCACCCTATGTGGATGCAGTCAGGACTTTGGCAGCCTCTGAAAGCAGAAGGCCAGGAAGAAGGAAGCCCGCTAGAAGCAGTGCCCACTACCCACCCACGCTCACTCTGAGAGAAGCACACAAGCTTTGCACTGCCTGTCCTGTGCCAGGTAAAGGGATCCCACGAGCTTCAGTGCATGTACAGTGCTGGTTGTGAGCTTTGCAAGAGCTTCCTGGCTCCACACAGTCACCTGGTCACCATGCCCAGCTTCCCACAGAGCCACATAGTACCCATAGTGAGTTACCACCAGCAGGAATGAGAAGACTGTAGAACACACCTTTCCCCAGGCTCTCACTGACTATTTGAAGAATGAAAATGCTGTTTCAGAGCCACGGAGACATCCATGGTAAGGGGATATTGAAAGGAACTCTAGACTCCTAAACCTGGGACCTAGGATAGAACTGAGAGATCCATGAATTCTCCCACATAGTAATAAATGTTGGTGTGCACATATTTGGTAGAGGAGAACAAGGTATGTTGCTGTCAGAAGTTTCCCCAAATTCATGAGAAGTGACACAATTAATTTTTAATCTAACATTTTTAGTTTAAATTTAATTTAATTACAATTTTTCAAATTAAGATGATATTAAAAACTAATTTACTGCAGATATATATCAGATCTCCAGTCACGTCAGATGCAAAGGTATATTAATGATGCCCAAGGAAGAATATGGAACTTCTAAAAGATGATTCAAATGGTTTTACCAGGGACTCACACAGATACTTTTATACCAGTGTTCTCAACAGCACCATGCACATAGCCAAAAGGAGGAAACAACCCAATGGTCCATCCATGGGTGATTGGAATGAGCAAAACGTGGTGTATACATATGATGCAATATTATTCAACCTTGAAAAGGAAGGAAATTCTGGCACATGCTGCAACATGGATGAACCTTGAGGACATCATGCTAAGTGAAATAACTAGAAATAAAAAGACAGATATTATATCATTGCACTTATATGAAGTACCTAAAATTTCTTTGTTTTATATTAAGATCTACCACCCCTCTTTTCTTTTGCTTGCATTTTCCTTGATCTAGTTTTGCCCATTCTTTTATTTTTCAATCATTCTGAATCACTTAGTTTTAGGTTTATCTCTTTTATAGTAGTGATTTTAAAATATGTTTTCAGGATACTCCTTTCTTTTTTTTTTTTTTTTTTTTTTTTTTGAGACGGAGTCTCGCTCTTTTACCCAGGCTGGAGTGCAGTGGCCGGATCTCAGCTCACTGCAAGCTCCACCTCCTGGGTTCACGCCATTCTCCTGCCTCAGCCTCCAGTGTAGCTGGGACTACAGGCGTCCGCCACCGCACCCAGCTAATTTTTTGTATTTTTAGTAGAGATGGGGTTTCACTGTGTTAGCAAGGATGGTCTCGATCTCCTGACCTCGTGATCCACCGATCTCGGCCTCCCAAAGTGCTGGGATTACAGGCGTGAGCCACCGCACCCGGCCGATATTCCTTTCTTTACTTGGTAGATACACACTAGGAAAAATTAATTTAATAAACAGGAAACAGCCTCTGGTAGCCTTGGGTATATATTAGTTCTTCAAAATAAAAGAGACTGAGATAGTCCCAGGCTCGAATTGTGCTTGAGTGGAGCCTTCTTTGGCTACTTGGGTTAGGTTATGGTCAGAGGGACAGCCACATTTGGCAATATATTCAGTAGCCATGGGTTCAAAGGATTAAGATCATGTATCAGAGGCACATAGCTCCAAATTCAGAGGTGCAGCACTGTCTGGCTTTAACCCCAGGACAGGAGTCAGGGTCCAGCATATTCTGACAACATCGGTTGGGGCCAAGACCCCAGAGGTATAAGAGTGGTCCATTGCTACAACCTCAGCCAGGTTCAAGAGGCCTTGCACTCTCCAGCAGCATCTCTGGAGAATCTTCTCAGCATCATTATGATGTTGGGAGGAATCAGTGGAACACAGGGTGGTTCAGTGTCATGCTGTCTGGGGATGTCAGATACGGGCCAGCACACATCGAAGCATCAGATCTAAGTTGTCTCCAAAGGTTGAAGATGGGGGCACTGCAGCACGTGGTAGCCTTGATGGGCTGCTGAGATGCAGGCCTGAGAGATACAGGCTTGTCTATCAAAGTTCCATCCTAAGTAGGGGCAAAGACCCCAGGATCGAGAGCTCTGTGTGCTGTGCCACTTGGTGGGAGACTAGAGGATCCCCTCCTGAGCTCTTAGTTCCTGAAAAAGACCACCATGACCACCTCTGCCAGTTGACAGGCAGAGAACCAGGGCAAACAGACCCAAGATAGATGGTGGGCCATGGTGTGTTCTTGGGAGCCTCTGGGGTCAATGACCCTTGGATGGGCATCAGTTTCTTGGGCTGCCATGGGGCACCAGGGAAACTGCAACTGGTACATGTGGGCTCAGTGGTAGGTCCCACTATCCAGGACCACAGGCCTAGAAGAGGCCAGGTCCAGAGGAGCTTCAGGCCAGGTGCAGTGTCCTCCTGTCAGGTAATGAGCTCCTGGCTGGCCAGTACCTTGGGCTCCCTTTGATCCACAATGGCCCCATCTTGCTAGCTTTTCCACAGGTCATAATGCTCAGGTTTAATGATGTGTGTGAAGGCGTCCATGGAAAAGGCCACCCTGCCCTCCCCACAGCTACACTGAGATGCCATATTGCCACAATCTACCCATCCTAGGTGGTGAAATTGATGGTCTCTGTGAGAATTGAAGCCTGTGTGGTAGTCATAGGGAAATGTCACCATGAACTCTCCAGCCTCCTGAGTCATGCTGTTGAAGGGAACCCCATTCTGCATGAGCACTGTGGGCAAGATGAAGGCCATCTTGTGCCACAAGAAGGCCTCATAACCCTGAGAACTACCTGGAAAAGCTCCCCGGCTGAGCATTCCAGGTGCTGACTATGGTTTTGGGGCACTGTATACCAAGACAGGGGCTCCCTGAAGTGATGGTAGTTGATGTTGTAAAGGTCCGTGTCCTATGGAAAGGTGGTCGTCCACATGCCAAAGTACAGGTAGGGTGTGTTGACACTCTCTTCAATGTCAGCCTCACATTCCTGATCCCGAAACTCCTAAATTTTTCCTACATGTCCAGGATTACATTGTTTACTGTTTTTATCAAATAGGAGGCTGAGGTTCTTCCAGTATTTTCTTTCCAAATCTTCAAACTTCTGGTGTGGTTGAATCCAGTATATTTCAGAGTATTTGAAGACAAATGTGTGACAAACAAAATGCTGAGCTTTAAGCTACCTTAGTAACTTAGTGATGCCACACAGGCTTCAACCACAACTTTAACTGTACAGAGGCCATCAGTTCTACCACCCAGGATGGATTGATTACGGCAGATTGGTATGGTGTGTTAATATGAGGATTTAAGGTCAAATCACAACATATATAAAGAGGAGTATCAAATTGAACTGAAAGAAAAAAATCAGCAAGTTCAAAAATGATTGAATTTAGCACTCAACTCAGTAAACAGGATGAATCAAAATAAAAAAGGAAAGAAAATAAAGGTACAAGCAGAAACAATTACAAAAGAAAATATTACACCCAGTAGAGGTAATAAAAAAATTCAAAATCTGATTCTTTGAAAAGACTTTGGAAGTTAAAAATCACAGGTAGGAAGAGGAAAGAGTGTACAAAGAAACTACATTGTGATAAAATAATAAAGCACACAGCTAAACCTTGTAGAGTTTTTTAAAAATTATAATTGAATCCTATGAGAAACTTGGTAAAATAATTTTCCCAAAGGTACAAATAGCAGAAAGTAGCCCAACAGCAAAATAAAACAACCAACTTTCAATAAAATATTTCTAATTTTATTTTGAGAAAAGGTAACACCAACAAAACATTTTAATTCAATGATAGAAACATGGTAATAGTAAGAAATATTCATAATAAAAAAAATACACCATGTTATAAGTACCTACAAAGTTACAAGCCATTTCTTCCATAACATTCCCCATATTTTAAGTTCATGTATGTTGATATGATCAGATTTGCCATTTAACAGAATAGAGAGGGAGAAGAGGTGTGATTATCATCAGCTAGATGTGCTCACTGCATGCTCTATTATTTCTCTTCCAGGCCTGGGTGACTAGAAGGGCAGTTGACAGGCATTTTAATAAACTGAACAGTCATTTGTTCTTCAGGACAGGGCTTCTTTTTTCAGGAGCAATCAGAAGAAAACAGGAAGCAGCTCAGCACTCTGCACTGCAACAGGCCACCTTAACAGCTAACCAGCATCACTCAACTGCTAGGCAGCCGGGCCTGGTGCACAAAAACACAGAAGAGATTAGAATTGTGTTTGCTCAAAACCCAGTCTTTTCACCTGAAAAATCTTTATACAAATTTGGGTCATATTACCAGTTAGATTTAAAGGTAATAACATTACACATACACATTTATACCACCCTTTGTAAGTTTGTAACTTTAAGGAATGAAGGCAGTTTTGAGGCAATGTAGTGACAGCGTTGGGCTGTGTGTAATGGCTGCACACATTTCTTAAGAGACAGGGGGCCACAAATTAGGTTACCAACCTGTTCGTTTCAAACCAAAAATATCAGCACTATAGAATCAAATATACGCTAGGCGAAGGGGCTCACACCTGTAATCCCAGAACTTTAGGAGGCCAAGGTGAGCAGATCACTTGAGCCCAGGAGTTCGAGGGCAGGCTGGCCAACATGGCGAAACCCCGTCTCTACTAAAAATACAAAAATTAGCCCTCTGTGGTGGCTGGTGCCTATAATCCCAGCTACTGCAGAGGCTGAGGCCTGAGAATGGCTTGAACCCAGGAGGTGGAAGATGCAGATGGCGCCACTGCACTTCAGCGTGGGCAGCAGAGCTAGACTCCATCTCAAAAAAAAAAAAAAAAAAAGACAAATATAAAATTTCCCCTCAAACATCCAAATCCAATCTAAAGTAGTTTACCTCACTAAATTACAAGAAAATTTGAATAACAACACAATGGCACATGAAATGAATCTTGCCATCTGATGCAACACTTCAAACTGGTAAAAAGGTAGACAAATGTCACACAACTGTTTCATTAGGCAGTCGCTTCTTCCAGGGACTCTGCTTCCATGGACTGAGTATGGAGTCCTTTTCCCCAAGTCGTCCATCACGCGTTAGCTGATGATCATTTTCCTTGGAGGACACTTGTCCTTTTTCCCCTTCAGGAGACCTGGGAGGACTCTTGGATCACGACCTGGACTTGGATTCCCTCTTGGATATGGGGGTAGTACTCCGGGACGTAGATCTAGACCTGGACCTTGAGCAAGATCTGGAGATGGAGGAGGACTTGGATCTTCGCGCAGAGCTGGATTTGGAGGTTGATAGAGAACGAGAGCGAGACCCAGACTTCGAGTGAGAGCGGTTGTAGAGAGACCTGTTGCGGGAAGACCGGTTGTAGGGAGACCTGTAGCGAGATTCCCTGTAGGGAGATCGGCTGTAGTGATGCCGGCTGTAAGATTGACTGTAGCGAGATCCTCTGCAATGAGATCGTCTGTAGGGAGATCGGATGTAGGGAGACCGGCTATAGCGAGACCCCCCATAGTGAGATCTGCTGCGGGACCTAGAGCAGCTGGGACCCCGGGATCGGCTGCGGTGTCGCCGCCTAGGGCTGCGGCTCCGCCGTCCGTAGCGGCCGCCTCCGGACCTGCCGCGCGGGTCTTCCTGGCGGCTGCGGGGCAGGTCCCGGCGGCCATAGCGCGCCATCTGCACCCGCAGCTCGCGTCCATCCAGCTCCGCCCCGTCCATGGCGTCCTCGGCGTCTTCCGCGTCGCGCCGGTCGTGAAAGCGGACGAAGGCGAAGCCGCGGGGCGCCTTGGTGTGGTGCTCCCGCGGGATGTACACGTCGCCCACGCGCCCGTACTTCTCGAACACTCGCCTCAGGCTGTCGGGAGAGGTCCGGTAGGTCAGGTTGTCCACCTTGAGGGTGATCATGCCGTCCACGTCGGGAGGGGGGCGGCCGCAGCTCATGGCTCCTAGAGCAGGCCGGGCCCGGAAACTGGCGCTGCTCTGGGCGCTGACGGTGTGACCTACGTTCCTTTCTCGCGGCTGCGCCCCGCGTGGGGACGCCGGGAAACGCTGGGCGGAGAGGCTGGCGGCCGAGCTCCGCAGGGAGCCCCCTGGAGCAGCAACTCCCAAATTGCCAATTTCAGGCCAAATACTCCAGGACCCAGAGGAAGGTTTCCTCTTGGTAGCTGAACTCCAAATGAAGCCAGATCCCAAAGATCCTGGCTTTATCCCTGGCCAACATCCTAACCTAATCAGCGCCCAGCTAATGTAATCACTGGGCTGGGCTTAGATTAGACGTCCCACCCTCCCATAACCTTCCCTTTTATTCTACATTTTAATCAATCTTAGAACAACGCTAAGTGATTAAAAGTCAATTTATGGGAACAGGCAATACAGACAAATATTAAACAAAAGAAATCTAGGGGAGCAATATTAATATCCAGTGTATTGATAGGATCCTGGTTAATGAAATTTCATAGGAAAATATTTCAATATTGCAGTAATGAACTTTATGCACCTAACCACATGGCACTGACACATAGCCAAGACTCAGACTTAGATGGTAAAACTGAAAAGTCTGCAATCATGATAGGAGATCATGATTTGGGTTTTTTTTTTTAATGTAACAGCATTTTGACCGAAACCAATAGTGCAGAGAACAAAATTAGGAATGCTGTATAATTTGGCTGGGCGCGGTGGCTTACTCCTGTAATCCCAGCACTTTGGGAGGCCAAGGCGGGTGGATTACCTGGGGTCGGGAGTTCAAGACCAGCCTGGCCAATATGGTGAAACCCCGTCTCTACTAAAAATATAAAAAATTAGCCGGGTATGGTTGAGGACGCCTGTAATCTCAGCTACTTGGGAGGCTGCGAGGTCGACAGCGAGACTCCGTCAAAAAAAGAAAAGAAAAAAAGCTATAGAATTTGCAAAACAAACTTAACCGTGATCATTATAACCTGCAACTACCAAAAGTCAAATGGAAAATGCTTTTCAATAGGTAGAACACATTTACAAAAATTTCCCAGTGCAGCTACAAATAAATATCAATTACAATTCCATAAGTTAATAAATTGAGCATAAGCTTGACCTCGTTGAAATAAAATTAAAGGTCAACAATTTAAAAACTGAATCTGACTATATTTATTTGATAATTAATATCCATATTTTCTAAAAATCTATAAATATTTATGTTGAAATTCAGCAATTAGTAAATAAAAACGAACAGAACATAAAACATTAAAACAATGATAGAATTATAAATAAACAGAAGGCAATCTAGACTAAAGATGATTAATAAAACTGCAACCTGATAATGTTAAAGAAAAAAATAAAGATGTGGCAATACTTATGAAGAAATAAAGTTTCTAGACCTGTGCAGGAAATACAGAAAGAGCCTATAGCATCTTGGAGTGTTGGAAAATAAGAATGTGGTAAACACAAAACAAACAAAAGTATTGATGAGGTCATGTTAGAACATTTATGGGGTTATATTAGAAGAGCACAAGAACCAATGAAAACAGCTCCCAACGGCCAAATTTTAAACAAGTTGAGCCACAGAGTAACTAAAGTATTATTGAATTATCATCCAAAGAATAAAATAAATACCTGCAAGTTCATGCTGTTATGAATAAATGAGTAAATTTAACAAATTGGAGAGAAGAGACAAAACCCTTCTGCAGAAGAATTCTAAATAAATGTACTAAAATGTTGCTCATTTTGAAAATGTTATATAACCTTATGTAAACAGAATTGTGCTTTATGCAGTTTAATGGGTTTTTTTGTTTGTTTTATTTCCCTCATCTATGTTGTTCCTTGTAGCTGTACTTGGTCCTGTTGCCTGCTGTAAGGTGTCCAATAGTATAAATGTTTCTGCTGTTGATGGGCATTTGGATTGTTTCCACTTTGGCCTCTTACAGTGTTGCTCAGAACACACTTGGCCATGTATACTGGAGCTCATGTGTCCTCTTATGTGTGAATGGATCCCTCATCATAGAATACAGGCAGCCTTCTGTAACCTTTGGGTTCAGCATCAGTGAATTCAACCAACTGCAGGTCAAAAATACTCAAAAAAAAAAAAATGAGTTTGTAAGTAATTCCTCTTCCTCTGCTTTTCAGAATAGCTTGACTAGGACTGGTATGAGTTATTTAAATGTTTGGTGGAATTCAGCAGTGAAGCCATCGGATCCTCAGCTTTAATTTACTGGGAGACTTTTTATTACAGCTTGGATCTCATTATTTGTTATTGGTCTATTCAGGTTTTGGATTTCTTCCTCCTTCTATCTTGGTAGGTTGTATGTGTCTAGAAACTTGTGCATTTCTTCTAGGCTTTTCAACTTACTGCTATATAGTTGCTCACAGTAGCCACTAATGATACTTTGAATTTCTGCAGTATCTGTTGCAATGCCTCCTTTTTCATTTCTGATTTTATTGATTTAGATCTTCTGTCTCTTTTCCTTAATCGGCTAAAGGTTTGTCAATTTGGTTTAACTTTTCAAAACAACAACTCTTTGTTTCAGTGATCTTTTGCATTGTTTTCCTCATTTTGATTTCATTGATTTCTGCTGTGGTTTTTATTATTTCTTTTCTTCTACTAATTTTGGATTATTTTTGTTCTTACCTTTCTACTCGTTTAAGAGGCATCATTAGGTGGTTTATTTGAAGTTTTTCCTCTTTTTTGATGTAGGGACTTATAGCTATAAACTTCCATGTTAGTACTGCTTTTACTGTATCCTATACGTTTTAATATATTGCATTTCCATTATGATTTGTTTCAGGAAATTCTTCAATTTCCTTCTTAATTTCTTCATTGACCTACTGGAGATTCAGGTGCATACTGGTTAATTTCCATGTGTTTGCATAATTTCCAAAATTCCTCTTGTTTTGATTTCTAGTTTTGTTCCACTGTGTCCAGAGAAGATGCTTGGAATTGCTTGAATTTTTGAACTTTTAAAGATGTATTTTGTTACCTAACATATGGTCTATTCTTGAGAATGATCCATGTGCTGAGGAAAAGAATGTGTCTTTTACAACTTTTTACACCTGGTGAATGAAGTGTCCTGTCAATATCTACTGGATCCATTTGATATAAGGCAGACTAAATCTGATTTAGAGCTTTCTATTATACTATCTTGCTCTGCCAATTCCTCCAGTTTAAACAATTATATACACCCATGTAATCATCACTCTAAATGAGACGCAGAACATTCCCATAGCCCCACAACATTTTCACATGCCTAGAACTTCCCAGTTAATTCCCACTGTCACCAGAGACAACCACGATCTAAGTTCTATGAGCACAACTTATTTTGGCCATTTTTTTGAATGAATATAAAATGAATCGTTGCTTTTTGTAACTGAATACTATTTAATATGCTATAGCTTTTCCACTCATCTGTTCAGACATGTGGATTATTCACAGTTCCTGATTTTTAATGATTGGGTAAATACCTAGGAAGAGAATGGCTATGGATAGATGAGTGGTCAAGTTTACAGAACATTGACAAACAGTTTTTCAATGGGGCTGTACAATGTTACATTCCCACAAGCAATGTATGTGAGAGTCAGTTGCTCCGAACATGATACTGTTTTGCTCAGAGCAGAGTACATGGTTACAGTTAATCCAGGAGTAAAACTGGTATTGATCCATCATACCAATGGCAGGATGTTTCTTCTTGCCCTTGTGACTTCTGGTGTTCAAGGGGACATGTTTTTCACCAGAGGTCACAACAATAATTCCATAAATTAAAAGCTGAAATTCTTATGTAGCCATTTCTATCTCCTCACATCACTAAATAACCATGCAAAGAACTACGATTTTAGTAGGGGCGATCACTCTTTATTCTGTCAAGAAAATTAGGCTTTTGAAACACAATGAAACCTGAAGTAAAGTTGTAGGTCATGTCCGTTATGGAACAGACTTTGGCACCAAGATCTTTCTTAACAAGTGTGCTTGGGATTCATATCTGAGAAAAGAGAGGAAGGAAGCATGTTTGAGCACAGGGAAAATTGGAGCTGAGGATTCGGGCCAAAGATAGTCTTGGCAAATCTGGAGCACAAATGGCCCTTCAGTGATGTGCTAAGTTGAGCAAAGATGGCCAAGCTTTATGCTCCAGCACTGAGCAGTCATGAAATGTGGGCCAAACTGGGAAGAGGCATGCTTTGGGTGAGGCAGCTCTCTGCAGCTAAAGGCTCTCTGCTTACTGCACTCCAGGGTCAATGAGGCTTTTATCTATCACATAAAATTTCATTCCTTGGTCATGCAGGATGTACTGAGAGATCAGCAGTTCTCTGGGCTACTCCATTCCAGTGAATGCAGTGTGCTTTCATCTTTGGTTCCACCGTGTCACTATTAGCTTAAACCTTTTCAGCCAGGCATCTCAGTCCATCCTCCTGTATGCCTGGAGACCCTATGTTGTCCCTCCGCTTGAATTTTCCAAAGAATAAACTTCTTGTTATGTTAAGAAAGACAAAGTTGCCTGAATGAATGGGAGAGACAGGATGATAAGAGTTTTTCTGCTCTTTATTGAGAACTTCAGACAAGCACCAAGTTTTGATTACTCATGCTTCAAAATGTACAGCCTTCCTGAAATTCTGGATGGGTGTGGGGAAGTTAAGGAAGGGTGGTACCAAGGTGGGCAGTGGTTTGCTTCTCTGAATGTTTCCTTCTTCATCAAAACTGTCATTTTCAATGTTAAAAATATATTCTGAATTTTTCCATTTCTCTGCATTTGCAATACTAACAATTAAGTGTAAGCAACTGTCACTCTCACTTGTATTATAAATAGTCTAATTGCTTCTCCTACTCACACATTCTCCACAGAACAACTAAGCTGATTACTTAAATGTGTCCTTCACACCTTTTCCACTGCTGTTTTAATGCCTTCTCATTTCAAGTTGAAGGAACACTACATAATGCACCTGACATGAGACACAAGGCCCTCCATGCTCTGCCCCCTGCCTCTCTCCCTTCCTCTTTATGTCCCAGACACAAATAAGCTTCTTTTGTATTCCTGGAAACACAAACTCACAAGTTCTGTGTTAGGTCTGTTGTACTTGCTGGTCCCGGCAAGCAGGGAATTCTTCTCTAGACCTCCCCGTTTTATAATTGGGTCCCCAAAGTCTCCTGCTCAGTGAATCCTTCTGAGACCGGCCGCTCAACCAGCCCCAGCTCATTCTGCTCTGTTGTCCAATCCTTCTTTAGTTTCTATACAGCACACATTCCTGATTGAAACCTTGTTCACTTATTTAGGGACAATATTGGGTTGAGTGAATGAGTTACCAGTGTGAAACATACAAACAGCTTTGAAAAGGCAGGGAAGCCCGGGAGAGAAGCTAGTCAGATGGCACCTTCAGCCTAGGGTGGCTCATGTTTCCCAGCAATTTGGGTGCTGCTATTTAGCTGAGAACCAGGCTGAGCCTAAGGCCAGCCTCAAAGCATGACTGCAACCCAGTGCTCCCACCTGGCCAGACAGCCAGAACCCCAAAACCATGCCCTGAGCTCAGCATCACCACACAATGTAACCAGCCCATAAAATGCATTTTGCCTTAAAAATTTTCAACTAATTATGAAGAAAAATGCATGGAGAATAACCTCCTTTCCAAGTTGTTTGAAACTACAATATTAGAAGAAAGTCAGATGTTACGTTTTGGTGACTTTTAATTCATTTGTGAATAAATACTGGTGACATCACATTTTGAATACCTCAATGACTCAGAAAGATACTTTTTTTCTAACTCTATTGACCTAATTGGTCATAAGAGGTTAGTTTTGCTAGAAAGGGAGAGTTGGGGTGGGATAGGTAAGGGAAGAAGATTGAAGGGGAACCACATTGTGAACCCTTCAGAAGTGCAGCAGCCTCCATAGTTGTTCCAGCAATTGGGACGCTGGGATAGATGAGTTCGCAGTAAACCTAGGAAGACCTCGTTCTCAGAGACACTCATGTCCAATGGATGAAATCTCAGCTGGTGACACAGAAGTAGAAGAGTCAAGACATTAAAAGGTCTTGCAGGATAAAGAATATACTTAATATACTCAGCAGCACCCAGGTGCCTCACCAGAGGGGCTATCTCAGCACTGAGAGGCTCTATAATGGTAGTGGTCTGAAAATTTGCCCAAAATTCTGAGATGTAAATGTGAGCAATATCAAGAAACCCTCACATAGCAGAGCAGTGAAGTATAAAGACTGACCATGGGCTCAGAGGCAGGGGCCTAGCAGCACCCAGAATCCTTGGCAGGATGCTGGATCCTGGGCTTAGTGGTACAGGCCTGTTCATCAATGCTCCATCTATGGGCAAGGACTTAGACTCAGGGCCTGAGGCTGAGGGCCTAAAGCTGTGTGCCCTGTGACCGTCAAGAGGCACCTCCTGGCTGGAGCCTGGAGTATTGGCTCCTGTGTCCCCAGTTACAGAGGGCAAGGACCATGGCCACATCTATCAGTTGAGGGGCTCAGACGAGGGTTGGCAGAGCTGGGGTGGGCAGTGGGTCCAGGCTAAATTCGTGGGCTGGGAAGCATCATTGTAGGATGGAAAGGCCATGGGAACACCAGGCACAAGGGTAAGGCAATGGGAACCACAGCCCGAGGCCATAGGTTGAGTGGGTCATGACCCTGTTGACATGAGTGGTGACTGGGGCCAGGCTAGTCCTCTCCAGCACTTGGATCTTTCACCAGGTGGGCATCTCCAGGCTGGCATGTGCCCTGGACTCCATGGGGTCTGCAACTGCCCCAAATGACTGTGTTTCCACAGGTCATAGCACTTGGGTTACAAGATGCCCACAGTGGCTTTCCCATCAATGCACTGAGACTCCACTTTGCTTGAATTGATCTATTCCATGGTGGCAAAATTCATGGCCTCCTGGAAGTTCAAGCCATGGTTGAAGCCAGCATGGTGGCCATAAAGAAACCATTTAGAAGTTTAGCCTTCTCCTTGAGTTTTCCCCACATTCAGCCTTATCAACTGCAAGCACAACAAAATAAGTTTTGTCTCTTCCCTTCCATCAATTATAGTTCTAAAAATATTTTCAGTGGTTAATAGTGCAAATTCCATACATTATTGACTGAAGTGCCTCAAATATCTCACATTAAGGAAAATGGTGGCTTGGGTCTAAAGTATCTCACTACTAGATAAACAATTTTGCATTTTATTTTATGGAAGGATTCATTGCTTCCTTGTGGGTGAGTGTAAACCAAGACTGACTGTTGAATTTTATCAAATGATTATCAGCATCTATAAACATAATCATATAATTTCTGGATATATTTACAAGATAAGTTATATTTCCAGATTTCCTTGCTTTAAACCATTGTTACCTTCCTGCAATAAATCCCATGTAGTCATCATATGTTACTCTTTTAATGTACTTAGATTATCTCAGCTAATGCTTAAGTTAAAATTTTTACATTGATGTTCATCAATAAGTTTTGTCTGTTTTCTCTCATTCTGCGATTCATCAGGATTTTCTGTCAATGATGTACTTATTTTAAAATATGAAATGTTTTTCTCATTTTAAAGGCCTAGGTATACTAGAAATGAAGATGTCACACAATTCCTCTGCAAATTTGTCTAATCTTCATTTTTGAATGGGCAGATCTTCTGCTCTTTCTATATTTCAGACACAGAAATTTATGCCTTAAATTTTTTGTTTAGTAAGTTAATTTTTCTAACAAAAAATCCATATCATTGGTGCTTTGTGTTGATTTAGTATATATTTTACAGTTATTTTAACTCATTAATTTATGTGTATACATGTATGAATTCCTTCCAACTACTTTCAGTTTATCTTTTCCTAACTTGTACATTAAAAGTTTAATCCAGTTAATTTCATTCTTTGAATATGATGGAGAAAATACTTAGGGCTGCAGTATTTTCAGCACTATTATAAATGAATCTCATATATTTCTTTGTATTTTATTAAGTTTTAAATCTAGAAACACTCCAATAATGCTATTGTGTCCCAAGCATTGATATTAACAAATTGCACATATTAATGCATAGAACTGTCAACTAAACACATGAGGTAGGTGCTATCTTCATTTTATGTTGAGGAAACTGAGTCATAAGGTTAAGTAATTTTCAAGGTCACACAAGCTGATAAGAGAAACTTGGGAACAAAATCAGGCTTTCTTACTGCAGAGTTTATGCATGTAATAGATATTGTTTTGTGAAAATTTGGCTTTTTTGGTACTTGAAGAGAGGAAGTATTTTCTGTCATCTAGTAGGTCAATACTACCTTACTATTAATGTAGTTTAAGTTTTCCGTATCCTTATATTTCTCCGTTTTTCCTGCCTTGGATGAGAGACTGTTTCATTCACACATTGCTGTAAAGAAATACCTGAAGGCTGGGTGTGGTCCCTCACGGCTGTAATCCCAGCACTTTGGGAAGACAAGGCAGGTGGATCACCTGAGGTCAGGAGTTTGAGGTCTGCCTAGCCAACATGATTAAACACCATCTGCACTAAAAATACACAATTAGCTGGGTGTGGTGGCAGGCGCCAGTAATCTCAGCTACTAGGGAGGCTGAGGCAGTAGAATCGCTTGAAACCAGAAGGCAGAGGTTGCAGTGAGCTGAGATTGCGCCACTGCACTCCAGCCTGGGCAAGAGCAAAACTACATTTAAAAAAAAAAATCCCTGAAATTGGGTAATTTATATTATAAAGACAAGAGTTTTAATTGGCTCATGGTTCTGCAGGCTGTGCAGGGAGCACAGGAGCTTCAGCTTCTGGGAAAGCCTCAGGAAATTTACAGTCATGGAGAAAGGGGAAACAGGCACATCACATATAGCTGGAGCAGGAGGAAGGGAGAGGGGGAAGGTGGTACACACTTTTAAACAACCAGATACTCCTAGAACTGTATCACAAGAATAGCACTACGGGGATACTGCTAAATCATTCATGACAAACCCCCGCCATGATCCAGTCATCTCCCACCAGGCCCCACCTCCAACATTAGAGATTAAAATTCCACATGAGATTTGGGGAGGAACACATATCCAAACCATACTGGTGACTTAAATGTTCCTATTTTTAATCTGTTTCTTTAAACTTGTCTTTTACCTACTATAATTTATACTTTGTGGAACTTACTTGAATATTCATGACCGCTGTAATTTCATTGTGAAATTTAGTATTTTGCATTGTGAAGACCCATGCTATGTACCTTTGGTCTCAATTCAGGTTTGCCTGATATTAAGATCTGTAAAGCTACTTTGTTCTTTGTTTGGTATAGTTTCCCCATTCTTTTATCTCAATCTCTTTTCTAAATCACTTTCTTTTGGATATATATTTTTTATATTCTAATTTAAAAAACATGTACTAAGAATTTTATTTTCTTTGGAGATACACATTAGAGACAGCAAATTTAATTAACATCAGTATAGTTACAAAATATCTCTGAAGCCATAACTGGCTAAGTAACTCAGTTGGTCAAAAGGTCTAGTTTGTATATGAGCAGTGGATGGTGGCCTGGGATAAAGGGCATGTTGCAATTGAAGGATTGTGAGAAGCCCTGAACCCCACTGGGGCTGTAGCAATGTCCAGTGGAATCCGGGGTCAGAGACATAGAGGACCAGATGAGAAGTAAAAATGAGAGGTTCAGTCAGATTCTCAGCATCATCCACTGTAGGCTCAAATTACCATGGGATCTGGACTCATAGCACTGTAAGGGAGGTATCCTAAGGGGGACATCAGAAACAAGTGCTGTCCATGGCATCTAGGCCATGGTGGAGGCCACAGGCACAATGTGAAGTAAACAGAGAGTCCCTGAGAGTTTCCACAACATCCTATGGCAACCTGTTGGGAGGAGCGTTCAGTGGCCTCTGGAAGCCCTGGTTGTCACAGTTGGAGACAGTATCTGGGGGCCTTGGAAATGTGTCAGTTACTGCAGGTAAAGAATCTTCACTGAGGAGAGGCTGAGGCTACAATTGTCCTTGGCAAGAATCTTCTTTGATCCTGGGGATGGAATAAGAGACACTGACATTTGTCACCATATTCCATAACCATGGGTCCAGAGGATTGATCATGCATTAGAGGAAAATATCCCCAAACTCAGTGATGTATCTCTGCCTGTCTTTAGCCCCAGCAGATGAGTCAGGAGCCCAAGAGATTCTGGAAAACTTAGTTGAGGTCAGAACCCTAGAGCCATAAGAGTGGTCCACTGCTACAACCTTGCCTATGTTCACCAGGGATTTCCAGTCCCCACCAGTGTCCCTGGAAAACTTAATCAAAGGCACAATGACATTGGGAGGAGTCATTCAGACAACATCAGGGAGATTACTAGTAGTGCTGTTGAGGGATAGCAGGCATGGGCCAGGGTGCATGGTTTCATCAGGATCCAGTGGGGGCCTCAGGAGTTGAAGATCAGGGACACAGCAGCAGCCAGAACCCTTGGCAAGATGTGGAGGGCCACCACTCAAAAGGACAGATTTGTCATCAAATCATTGTCAAGCTGGAGCTGAGGCCTGCGGCCTCGAGCTCTATTCCTTGTGCCCATTAAAAGGCGCCTCTTGGATACAGGCTGAACAGTTGTCTCCTCAGTCCCCAGTTCTCGAGGACAACGACCACGACCACGACCTCGACCACGACCACGACCACGACCACGACCACGACCACGACCACGACCACAAGAAGCCCAGCTTCCAGTGGAAGGGAGAAGAACCTGGGCTGATATCCCCAGGGTAAGTGACTGGGTCTGGGTATGATATGCAGAGCTTTGGAATGCAGATCCAGGCACATTATCAGTGCCACAACCTTTTGGGTTGTAACAGTGCCCTGGGGACACAGGCTGTGTGGGACACCGGGCTGTGAGGTTTGGGAGAAGCCTCAGGCCCAGAGCAGCTCTTCTAAGTACTATATCATCTCTCCAGTTGCTCAGCTCTTGGCTTTTTGCAACCCTGGGCTCTGTGTGATCCACAATGGCCAAGTCTTGCCTGTGTTTCCAGAGCTCATAACTCTCGGGTTGCACAATGCGCACGAAGGCGTCCATGGAAAAGGTCACCCTCGCCTCCCCACAGCTACACTGTGAAGCTACTTTGCCATAATCAATCCATCGTGGAGTGGCAAAATTGATGGCCTCTGCGCAGTTGAAGCCATGGTTGAAGCCAGCATGGTAGCCATAGGGAAAGGTCACCATGAACTCCCCAGCCTCCTGAGTCATGCGATTGAAGGGGATCCCATTCTTTTTGAGAACTGTTGGCGAGATGAGGGCCACCTTGTGCCGCAGGAAGCCCTCACAGCCCCGAGAAGTGTCCGGGAAGAGCCCCCTGGCCAGACGTTCCAGGCGCTGACTATGTTCTGGGGGCACTGCATACCATGTTTTGGGCTCCCCAAGGTGCAGGTAGTTGATGCTGTAAAGGTCCATGTCCTCCGTGTGCCAAGCAAACGTGGTCTTCCACATACCAAAGTACAGGTAGGGTGTGTTGACACCCTCGATGACAACCCCACATTCCTGCTCCAGCAGGTCCAGAATTGTTCCCAGGTGTCGTAGGTTCCACTGTTTAGTGTTTTCTTCAAACAAGGAGCCACTAATATCAGCACCATAAATTGCTGAATTACCAGGGTGGCTCTTCCAGTATTGTCGCTCCAAATCTCTAAAATTCCGGTGTGGTGGAGTCTGATATTTTTTACTGTTTGCCAAGTGGCGATACTCCGCCACCCTCATGGCTTTCTTCTTTTTATGGTATTGAGTAAACACCCCTGCCTGTCCAGAGGTCACCTGCTGGAGGGGAGTGGCTATTAAGATGTCTCCGATATCATCATACATCTGTCTGGCTTTCCATTCCTTGGGTGGAATTACCTTGGCGAGGCCAGCTCGGTGTGCGCCTTGGGACTCCATGTAAGCAACATATTTGTTGAAATCTGTAAATTCTTCCATGGTGGGGTAAAAAGTCATGATGGTATGACTTGTGTTCTGGGGACTGGAGTGCGCAGACTTCATGGCTGCACACAAGAAGTAGCTGACTCCCAAGTTCTTAGGTGTCCTCTAGATGCCTGAGAGCGCTGGGGAGTAATTTCTTTTCTCCCCTTTGTTTTTCAAAACACTTTGGTTTATCTGGGAGGGAGTAATTCACACTTGAACTTTCAAACAAGTGAGATCTTTCACAGGCTTTCTGAATCCCCAGAAGGACTCCACTCTAGTCAGTATATTTTTGTCCAAAGAAGTAGAGTATGTCCCAGCTCTACCTGCAGCTCCGTGAGTTTCCTCAGTTGGGGGTATCACTGTGAGGCTTCTCCTGATTCTCAGGCTTGGGTGCACTAGTAGCAGCTAGTGTACCACTCTACCTGGGGGTCTCTTCTAGGAAGTCAAAACAATACACCTAAACAACAACAACAAAAGATACAGAATATTCATATTTTTAAAATAAGTATATGACCAGACAAAAGAAATATTCAGGTAGCATTAAGCTAAACTAAAACATATGCTATGCTAACATCAGGTATGTTAACATTGTCAGGCCTCTGAGCCCAAGCTAAGCCATCATATCCCCAGTGACCTGCACGTGTACATCCAGATGGCCGGAAGCAACTGAAGATCCACAAAAGAAGTGAAAATAGCCTTAATTGATGACATTCCACCATTGTGATTTGTTTCTGCCCCACCCTAACTGATCAATGTACTTTGTAATCTCCCCCACCTTTAAGAATTTGTAATTCTGTGTAATTCTCCCCACCCTTGAGAATGTACTTTATGAGATCCTCCCTGCCCCCAAAACATTGCTCTTAACCCCACCTATCCTGAAACCTGTAAGAACTAATGATAATCCCACCACCCTTTGCTGACTCTCTTTTTGGACTCAGCCCACCTGCACCCAGGTGAAATAAACAGCCTTGTTGCTCACACAAAGTCTGTTTGGCGGTCTCTTCACATGAACACGTGAGACATTTGGTGCCGAAGACCCGGGTCAGTGGGACTCCTTCGGGAGACCAGTCACCTGTCCTTACCCTCACTCTGTGAAGAGATCCACCTATGACCTCAGGTCCTCAGAACAACCAGCCCAAGTAACATCTCACCGATTTTAAATCAGGTAAGCGGCCTCTTTTTACTCTGTTCTCCAACCTTTCTCACTATCCCCCAACCTCTTTCTCCTTTGAATCTTGGCACCACCCTTCAATCTCTCCCTTCTCTTAATTTCAATTCCTTTCATTTTCTGGTAGAGACAAAGGAGACACGTTTTATCCGTAGACCCAAAACTCCGGCACCGGTCACGGACTTGGGAAGACAGCCTTCCCTTGATGTGTAATCATTGCGAGGATGCCTCTCTGATTATTCACCCACGTTCCATTGGTGTCTGATCTCTGCTGGGACGCCTGCCTTGGTCATTTATCCACATTCTCTTGGTGGCAAGTCAATTGCGGGGACGCCTGCTTTGGCTGCTCACCCACGTTGCAACCCGGGGCTGCTCCCCACCCCACTTCTCCATGTCTCTACCTTTCTCTTTAAACTTGCCTCCTTCACTATGGGCAACCTTTCACCCTCCATTCCTCCTTCTTCTCCCTTAGCCTGTGTTCTCAAGAACTTAAAAGCTCTTCAACTCTCTCGACCTAAAATCTAAGTGTCTTATTTTCTTCTGCAACACCGCTTGGCCCCAATACAAACTTGACAATGGTTCTAAATGGCCAGAAAACAGCACTTTTGATTTCTCCATCCTACGAGACCTAGATAATTTTTGTCAAAAAATGGGCAAATGGTGTGAGGTGCCTGACATCCAGATATTCTTTTACACATTGGTCCCTCCCTAGTCTCTGTTCCCAATGAGACTCGTCCCAAATCTTTCTTCTTTCTCTCCTGTCTGTTCCTTCAGTCTCCACCCCAAGCTCTGAGTCCTTTGAATCCTTCTTTTCTATGGACTTATCTGACCTCTCTCCTTCTCCCCAGGCTGCTCCTTGCCAGGCCAAGCCAGGTCCCAATTCTTCCTCAGCCTCTGCTCCCCCACCCTACAATCCTAGCACCTGCCCTGCTCACACCCGGTCTGGCTTACAGTTTCATTCTGCGACTAGCCCTCCCCAACCTGCCCAGCGATTTCCTTTTAAAAAGGTGACTAGAGCTAAAGGCATGGTCAAGGTTAATGCTCGTTTTTCTTTATCCCATATCAGATAGCGTTTAGGCTCTTTTTCATCAAATATAAAAACCCAGCCCAGTTCATGGCTCATTTGGCAGCAGCCCTGAGACACTTTACAGCCCTAGACCCTAAAAGGTCAAAAGGCTGTCTTATTCTCAATATGCATTTTATTTTATTACCCAACCTACTCCCGACATTAAATAAAGCTCCAAAAATTAAATTCCAGCCCTCAAACCCCACAACAGGACTTAATTAACCTCGCCTTAAAGGTGTACGATAATAGAGTAGAGGCAGCCAAGTAGCAATGCATTTCTCAGTTGCAATTTCCTTGCCTCCATTGTGAGTCAAACCCCAGCTACATCTCCAGCACACAAGAACTCCAAATGCCTGAACCTCAGCTGCCAGGGGTTCCTCCAGAACCTCCTACCCCAGGAGCTTGCTACAAGTGCCGGAAATCTGGCCACTGGGCCAAGGAATGCCCATAGCCCGGGATTCCTCCTAAGCCGTCTGTGCGGGACCCCACTGGAAATCGGACTGTCCAACTCACCTGGCAGCCACTCCCAGAGCCCCTGGAACTCTGGCCCAAGGTTCTCTGACTGACCCCTTCCCAGATCTCGGCTTAGCGGCTGAAGACTGATGCTGCCTGATGGTCTCGGAAACCCCCTAGACAGATGCTTTGGGTAACTCTTACAGTGGAGGGTAAGTCCATCCGCTTCTTAATCAATACGGAGGCTACCTACTCCACATTACCTTCTTTTCAAGGGCCTGTTTCCCTTGCCTCCATAACTGTTGTGGGTATTGACGGCCAAGCTTCTAAACCTCTTAAAACTTCCCAACTCTGGTGCCAACTTGGACAACATTCTTTAATGCCCTCATTTTTAGTTATCCCTACCTGCCCAGCTCCCTTATTAGGTCGAGACGTTTTAACTAAATTATCTGCTTCCCTGACTCTTCCTGGGCTACAGCCACACCTCATTGCCACCTTTTCTCCAAGTTCAAAGCCTCCTTCGCATCCTCCCCTTGTATCTCTCCACCTTAACCCACAAGTATGGGATACCTCTACTCCCTCCTTGGTGACTGATCATGCACCCCTTACCATCTCATTAAAACTTAATCACCCTTACCCCACTCAATGCCCATATCCCATCCCACAGCATGCTTTAAAAGGATTAAAGCCTGTTATCACTCTCCTGTTACAGCATGGCCGTTTAAAGCCTATAAACTCTCCTTACAATTCCCCCATTTTACTGTCCAAAAACCGGACAAGTCTTACAGGTTAGTTCAGGATCTGCACCTTATCAACCAAATAGTTTTGCCTGTCCACCCTGTGGTGCTAAACCCATATACTCTGCTATCCTAAATACCTCTCTCCATAACCCATTATTCTGTTCTGGATCTCAAACATGCTTTCTTTACTATTCCTTTGCACCCTTCATCCCACCCTCTCTTCACTTTCACTTGGATTGACCCTGATACCCATCACGCTCAGCAAATTACCTAGGCTGCACTGCTGCAAGGCTTCACGGACAGCCCTCATTATTTCAGTCAAGCCCAAATTTTCCTCATCTGTTACCTATCTTGGCATAATTCTAATGAAGACACACGTGCTCTCCCTGCTGATTGTGTCTGGCAAATCTCCCAAACCCCAATCCCTTCTACAAAACAACAACTCCTTTCCTTCCTAGGCATGGTTAGGTATTTCCGCCTTTGGATACCTAGTTTTACCATCCTGACTAAACCATTATATAAACTCACAAAAGCAAACCTAGCTGACCCCACAGATCCTAAATCCTTTGGCCACTCCTTTCTGTTCCTTAAAAACAGACCTAGAAGCTGCCCCCACACTAGCTTTCCCTCACTCATCCCAACCCTTTTCATTACACACAGCCAAAGTGCAGGGCTGTGCGGTCGGAGTTCTTACATAAGAGCCAGGACCACGCCCTGTAGCCTTTCTGTCCAAACAACTTGACCTTACTGTTTTAGCCTAGCCCTCACGTCTGCGTGTGGTGGCTGCTGCCACCCTAATACTTTTAGAGGCCCTCAAAATCACAAACTATGCTCAACTCACTCTCTATAGTTCTCATAACTTCCAAAATCTATTTTCTTCCTCACACCTGACACATATACTTTCTGCTTCCCGGCTCCTTCGGCTATACTCACTCTTTGTTGAGTCTCCCACAGTTACCATTGTTCCTGGCCCAGATTTCAATCTGGCCTCCCACATTATTCTGGATACCACACCTGACCCCCATGACTGTATCCCTCTGATCCACCTGACATTCACTCTATTTCCCCATATTTCCTTCTTTCCTGTTCCTCACCCTAATCACACTTGGTTTATTGATGGACATTCCACCAGGCCTAATCGCCACACACCAGCAAAGGCAGGCTATGCTATAGTATCTTCCACATCTATCATTGAGGCTACCATTCTGCCCCCCTCCACTAGCTCTCAGCAAGCCGAACTCATTGCTTTAACTCGAGCCCTCACTCTTGCAAAGGAATTACACGTCAATATTTATACTGACTCTAAATATGCCTCCCATATCCTGCACCACCATGCTGTTATATGGGCTGAAAGACGTTTCCTCACTATGCAAGGGTCCTCCATCATTAATGCCTCTTTAATAAAAACTCTTCTCAAAGCCGCTTTACTTCCAAAGGAAGCTGGAGTCATTCACCGCAAAGGCCATCAAAAGGCATCAGATCCCATAGCTCAGAACAATGTTTATGCTGATAAGGTAGCTAAAAAAGCAGCTAGCATTACAACTTCTATCCCTCACGGCAGTTTTTCTGCTTCTCATCCGGCCACTCCCACCTACTCCCCCACTAAAACTTCCACCTATCAATCTCTTCCCACACAAAGCAAATGGTTCTTAGACCAAGGAAAATATCTCCTCCTTCCAGCCTCACAGGCCCATTCTATTCTGTCGTCATTTCATAACTTCTTCCATGAAGGTTACAAGCCGCTAGTCTATCTCTTAGAACCTCTCATTTCCTTTCCATCATGGAAATCTATCCTCAAGGAAATCACTTCTCAGTGTTCCATCTGCTATTCTCCTACTCCTCAGGGAGTGTTCAGGCCCCCTCCCTTCCCTACACATCAAGCTCCGGGATTTGCCCCCACCCGGGGCTGGCATATTGGCTTTACTCACATGCCCTGAGTCAGGAAACTAAAATACCTCTTGGTCTGGGTAGACACTTTCACTGGATAGGTAGAGGCCTTTCCCACAGGTTCTGAGAAGGCCACCGCGGTCATTTCTTCCCTTCTGTCAGCCATAATTCTTCGGTTTGGCCTTCCCACCTCTATATAGTCCAATAACGGACCGGCCTTTACTAGTCAAATTACCCAAGCAGTTTCTCAGGCTCTTGGTATTCAGTGGAAGCTTCCTATCCCTTACCGACCTCGATCTTCAGGAAAGGTAAAATGAACTAATGGCCTTTTAAAGACACACCTCACGAAGCTCAGCCTCCAACTTAAAA